TCACTTGCAATAGAAAATGCTAGTTTAGATATGAATAAAATTGAAATAATTCTTTCGAATATACCTTCATTGACACATCTTCGATTGATTAATAATCTTGATTAAATCGATTTTCCATGGGAACAATTTATTCAAACAAAATTACTAATATTAAATAAATTTGAATTTATTTTTATGAAGAAAGTCGATAAATGATTATCGTTTTATCAATGTTCAACGATTGATTGCTTCATTTCAAACAATATTCTAGCTTGAAATCCAACATTGATCTTATTCGGCATGTACCACATGATTTTCGACATCTAGACGATGAAATACGACTCTATTCGATACCTCATACTGGTCATCACTTTGAATATTATCTGGATTCGAATAGAATTACATTTATGGCTTTGACTGAAGTACGTAATGATACAACAATAATGGATCATGTACATAGTGTTTATTGAGAAAAAAAAAGAAATAATGGCTGCAATTACGAAAAAAAAGGTAAAATTAGAAAAAGAATGATGAGTGTTCGAAAAAAAAATATTGAAGTAATCATATCTTTCAGCTTGAGTTTTCTACGAATTGGATTCTTAAAAGTGACAGTAGCAGCTTTTATAGCCCGATGTGAGTCTACAGTTTCATAAAATATGGCTCCGGATCTATATTCATCTTTTTTAACGAAAAGTATGGTTGTTAGTGAAAGCATTCATTAATGACTTAATTTATTTTGTTATGTGACTCCAAAGAATATCAACTGACGCATCTTCTAATTAAGTCAAGCGATGATACACAGTATGTACAAAAACTTTTTGAACATCTGCTATCTTTCTCTGATAGAACAAAGACAGAATCTTGTCTGAAACTTTAATTACAAATATTGAAAAAACAGAAAGTTCTTGTATAATCTATATTTTCTACAGAGATATGCATCGAATTTTTAAAGATTTTCGAGGTATAAATCACATTCGGACACTTGTATTTTTTTACTCAATAATGCCTTTGTTTATTATCGAAATATTTCATTCGAATGAGAAAATTGTTTTATATGTAACGGTAGGGTTATAAAGGAAAAATTCAAAATTGGAACATGAAAATTCCGAAATACGGAAAAGCACCTGTTTATTTCTCGATTGATGGAAACCGTTAAATGCAAAGTTTTTTTTTTGTATCTTATGCATTCTGGTTGTCTTAGCTATTCATTAGTATTCATCACGCTAATTCAAGTTTCTCTATTATCGTTCAGCACGACTACAACTGTGAACGTCTGAATCTAACATTAGAAGTTAGTTTTTGTTTATTTAATATTACAAACGAAACTACGGACTGTCTTGTTAATAGTGAAGGTCAGGATAAGGAGACATTCATTGTAGCAGTTAGATGGGACCAATATTAGTTGATTGTCTCAATGAATGAATATAAATGTTGAAGATTGATAAAAATTTTATTAGTTTAGCAAACGACGTTTTCCAGCAAAACTTTATATTTTACTATGCAATTGAGTGAGTCACTAAATACAAATTACAATTGTTCCATTGAATCGGATTTTTAAGGCGGAATTGAAATTAAAAGTTTCTTGCAGAGAATAAAATTCTGTTCGAAATGATAAATTAAAATCAAAACTAAACAATATCCTTTAAACATGATTAACACATCTCTTTTTAAATGCCATTTCACGAACTAAGTTGTTGTTTCACTACTTCAACCCGCAGACGAGCACTGTTTTCACATATTTTACGCATACTTAAAGTGTACAAGAATGGTAATAATAAAATTGAAACTAGACAACTATTCATTCATTCATTATATATGGACAAAAACATTACGAACGGTGTATAGATATTTTTCTGTCTGCACTTGAAAAGAGAGAGGGTTTAATGACGTTTTAATTATTTATGATTGACTTAAGGGAGCCCTCCCCACCCCCTCTTTTCGGTATTTCTCGAGAACAACTGGATGAAAAATCATGAAACTTTCAAGACAGATAGATCTCAATGAGTAGAGCAAAAGTTGTCATAGACTCGAAATCTCCAAATGCTTCCTTCACAGAAATACGGGGATCACAAATGTCAAAAATGGTCAGAAGTTTCTTTGCCCCCGACAAAATTCTATACTTCATTTTGTCTGGCTGCAATATTTTTATAATCAATAGTATGAAATCGGGGTGCGTGTTTTTTTCATTTCGAAAATATCGTTCCTAGAGCTCTAGAGAAGCAAAGTACTGGAAGTACCGTCAACAAACCTCGTTTTTTCCAATTATACTAATGCTTTAAAGATTGGCGAATTTCGCAGGAACAATATTTTGAAGAGAAAGAAAAACACGCACCCCAATTTGGCTATAGTACTCTTTAAGAAAAATTGAGCCCGATGGAACGTATTGTGGTTGAGAAACGGGAGTGATTCTCGAGATCTTTTTATAAAAAACAATCATTGTTCGAAAACAGCGAAAAAATTCGTAAATTGTAATGTTTTTCAACGAAAATGTTTCATCTTTTCCAGTTTCTCGACTGTTGTAGTTGAAATATTAATTCTTGCAATATGTTCAGTAGATAGAAGATATTTCGAAGTTTATATAGGGCAGAAACACAAATAGTAATAATGAAAAATCTAAAAATTTTCTGTCCGGAAAGAGGCGGGTTGGGTTAAAAGCAGAATTTAAGTCTCAAAGAACCTGTATCTAAAGAAAAAAGTATTTGTATTGACCTACCTGATCATTGTAAGTTTCATATACAATGAAGGGTGTGGGTGTGGGTGTGGGTGTGAGATACTTAACAGTGTGCAGAAGGAAATATTCACACCCACACGCCCACACCCACAGCCACCCACACTCATACCCATCCTACACTCACACCCCACATCCACACCCACTCACACTCACACCCATCCACTCCTCGATGGAATATTTGCTTCATAAGTCGAGCGCCTATTTGTGTGAAGCTTAACGAGAACTACAATATGTGTTATCTGAAATTAAATTTACATGTACATTAAGGTTATGATGTGAAAAGTCGTATGCATCAAAAGTGAATGTTGAATATTAAGTATTCAAATATGTATAGTAGCATATAATTATATGACAGAACCTTTTTCCTATTCAGTTTTTGATTATTCGAACGGTTATTATTCATCACTTGAAAAGAATGAAGCACAAAAGAAAAAATCAGTCCGGAGTGAGATTCGAGCTCAGGTAATATCACAACTGGTCACTACAAAGATACTTTCATCAAATAAGCTATCGAAACATAGTCTTAACTCCAACTCAACTTCTATGTGAACGTTTATTTTAATATTTTCGATTAATGAATAATAGGGGTTCTAGCATTCGAAAACTGAATAAAAAAAAGAAGGTTCTGCCATATAATTACACATAATTATATATGATTAATCCAATGCAAATAGACATATGTTTTCAAATCTTCGATTACCAAGTTCAATTAGAGTTACCCTTCGTATAATGAAGTATCTTTTTGTGATATCATTCGAAAAGTTTCAAATAAATGTTCACATTGTATTTGAATTAAGACTGTGTCTCGATAGTTTACTCGATGAAAGCGTCTTCTAGTTACCAATTCTGATACTGTATGGGTTCGAATCCTATTCAGAGCACATTTTCTTTTACTTCTGTTTTTTTTGTGATTGATGAATAACAACCGTTCTACTATGTGAAAAATGAATAAATATCCATATATACATTTAAGTATTCACCTATTAAAATATTTAAGCATCCAAATTTGCAAATGCTCCAATATTCAACTACTCTACTATTCAATTTGTTATTTCAAGTATTCAGTTACTTAAGTACTCAAGTATTCAGGTTTGCAATTATTCAACTTGATAGATCAAGCGGAAACACATGCACAACTCTCTCGATGTGCATGTATGTTTGCATTGCACACATATCGATAAAGTTGTGCACGTGCATTTACGCAGCATTAATATCAAAATAGTCGTGAATGTTTCTGTTAGCAAGGCATCTCTATCAAGAAAATTATGCTCGTATGTGTGTATTTACGTGGTGCCAATACCGAGAGAACCGTAGGTGTTTATGTTTGCGGAGCAACCCTATCAAGAGAGATGTAAGTGTGTTTGTGTAACACTCAAATTGAGACATGTATATTTTCGTAGTACTCGATTATTGAATAGTTGAAAATATTTATTTCAATGCTTCAATTGTTGAATAATTGAATTAAACTATCAACTTGGACATGTATTCGAGATGCGGAACGCATGATGAAGGGTATAACAATTACACAATGTGAATGTGGGTATGGGAGCAGGTGTGAATGTATGTGTGAGTGTGGCTGTAGGTCTGGATGCAGGTTTGGGTGTGGGTGAGTAGTGTGGATGCGGGTATTCGTGAAGAGCTAACAACCACGCGCACCTCCACTACACACCCACACCCACACGCGCCCACACCTACACCCATACAACCACACCCACACCCAATGCCCGCACCCACACCCCACACCCACCTCACACCCACCACACACCCACACCACCCGCAGCCTGATCTCTAGATATTCTCTGGACTAAAGCATGTTGTTCAGCGAAAAAGTCTTTATGTGACCTTTTCAAGATCTTTAAAGATCTTTTCTGGAAATATACGTGATGCGTGTAGTATTATTGAGACTGTAACGGGATTAATATTGAAAAGATCTTTCAAGAGTGTTCTTTACGATGATCGTATGTGTTAGGTTCTGTTGTATCCTGCAAAAGTGGTTCGGTCGTATACGGTCGTATACAGCCGTATACGCTGGGAATACGGCCGTGCCCGTCGGCATCAGTATCGTTTGAAGTTGTGAATACGGAGATGATACGACCGTTTCTGGTCGCTGTAATGCTCGATCTGGGCTGTCTCTCCCCAATTTATTTGATGTAATCTATATTTTTTTTTGAGATAGTTAAACTATTTCTATATAATGGATGAACTTCTCAATAAGTCTAAGCAGAAAGAGCATCAGGCACCGCCTGAGAACCATGGCGCTCTATTTCAACGTAAAAATGTTCGCCTACTAATGAAAGATGCTGATGATCAAATAATTAGTTGTCCGTTCAGCGACTATGCTCAGGAGCCGTTGCTTTCGCTTGCTGGTGCATGTGCACCGTTAACATCCATTGTTCCTGACATACTTACGTACGTGTTAATGGCTCTAGATGGCACTGCGAATAATCCACCAGATGGACTGACTCGTGATGAGTCAGCTTCAATTCGCCTCTATACGATAGAATGGAGAGAGGCAGGCGAAAGTGCGTATAGGCATCTTAATCACGCGCTCAAAAAAAATGATCGAGAGAAATTACAACCGTGGTACAAATATCTCAAACTTCTTCTTACTGCCTTGATTAAAATTCCATGTTCAAAAGTGCAAATCGTATGGCGTGGTGTGCGATATAATAGTGTCGATAAATTTACAAAAGAAGCCCAAATCACGTGGTGGTGCTTTTCGTCTACTACAGAATCGTTAGCTGTATTAGAAAGCGATCTATATTTGGGTACAACTGGAGAGAGGACCTTACTATCTATCGAAGTATTAAATGGAAGAAATATACGAGCTCATTCGCACTTTCCTGGCGAAGATGAAATTCTACTATTGCCGGGAACACTCATAGAAGTAAAATCATTATTAAATCCAGCACCTGATCTGCATATTATTCATTTGAGACAATTAGTGCCGGAAAAACCACTACTAGAATTGCCATTTGAAGGTAAGATAATTTTTTTGAAAAATTTATGTTGAATTTGTTGACTGTCTACTTTCAGATGCACCCCTTTTCCCGAAAATTCAGTAAGTTTGATCTTGTTTGATCTCAAATTCTACAATCCCTGTAGAGTCTGTCGATTCATTCGAAGACCATATGATATTGGTTTTATAAAATGTGAGCACTCAAACTAGTCCTCGTGTATCAATAATGTGAATTTACTCATATACTGAAGTTTTATGCTTATACCTCAATAATAAAGTTTTGAGTTTTGATAGAAAACCATAATCGAAGATCACGATTCACACTTCACATTGTAAAATTTTGTCGGCAACCATCTGAGTACTATTTCCCGAGCCATTTACTACTAAGAGACTTTTCAAACTTTCGAGGATCTGAATATAAATGCGAGTATGGGGGGCGCCTATTAGTCTTACGTTCAGTCATACTCTACGCGTAGAGTCACACCCACAAGCCAACGTAAAATGCGGATATTTATAGACTTTTGCTCGTTCGTATCTTCCAATCAGCTTAACACTACTTTCGCAGGATCGAGTATTACATTTTATCTGGGATATATCTTTTGGTTTAATTGAAGCAAGTTTCACTAGATAGATTTTTGCGGATAGTCTAGCCTAAACTCCACTATTTCAAGGTTTTCTGCTCTTAGATAACATTGAATGAAGGCGAAAGTAGTCCCATTCAATAGAGGATATCATTCTACATCTAGAGTACTCTTTTTGTGAAACACAATGTGAAAGAAACGTTTAAGTGTTAGGGGTAGAAATTTACAACCACCATATGACGCGTTCAAACACTATCCCAGAAAACTCGATTAAATGTTGAGGAACTTGCTATTGCAGGTATAGGAGATACCAGAAGTGTAGAATGCCTAAGAAGTACAAAAGGTATGGGAAGTATAGGAGATGGAGGTATATAAGTCATCTCTCTCGATGTCCAATGGGAGATATTTCCGCGTATTGTAAGATAAAAATCAATTGAAAATTCACTAAAATCATACAATTTCAGAAGACTTTCAACAGATAAAAATCAATTCTGGTAAAACGTAATCAAAACAGCTGAAATTTAATCTATTTTTTTCTTATAACATTCATTGTAATCGATTAAAATTTAGACAGAGAATCGGTTATAACGGATATCTTCTACATAAATTTTTATTAATTATAATCAAAATATGAAACGACTCCGCCCACTTCTGTTCTATTGGTTGCTTCTGATTAGAAACCGTTCCCAATCTATAAAAAAAATCCATAAAATGTGACTGATTTTAATCGATCTCTAATCATTTTTCAAATCATTTTAATATAATTCGCGAGTTTTTTTCTCCAAGCAGTGGGTGTCACGAAACAGTGGCGGATTTAGAGGGGGAGGCGCTTGGGGCGATTGCCTCATATCAACATAGCAAAAGATCGATTTTTTCTAGTAGAAAACGTTTAAAATTGAGCTGAAACCACCCCTATAGAGCTTCAAAAGACGTTTTATGAGTATAATCGCCCCATATTGAAAATTTCCTAGATCCGTCGCTGCCACGAAACAACTCACAGCACAGTTCTCTCGATATAGTTGCCATGAAAACCATGTCAAAGTATTACAGAGATCCCCGAAACGCACATCGCATCAGATGTCCCATGTCTCCTATATCTCGTACACCTCTGGTACTTCTTATACTTGCAATAGTAAGTCTCCTGACATTTAATTGAGTTTCTTGGGATTCTGTTTGAATGCTTGTCCTCGCCCCCTCCTCACAGATCTTTGCAGACAAACACATAACTAACATAGACCGTGACAGACCTGTTCCACAGATCAGCACAAAATATGGCAGACTAATCTAGGAGCAATTACAGTTCATGGAAAACAAATGATATGGTGGTTCAAACACTGATTGATAAGTTGACATGATGACCAGCGCTCTTATATAGTTGGCATCTAATAGAAAAGCTTTTGAAGTAGTAACATTTCGATTTTAGCCGCTATAGATTTGGCAACAATGAAGAAGTACGTTTTGAAATGCATCAAATAAAGAGTTGTCCTTGGATTTTGTAGCAATGAGTAGATCGTGTTTGAAATGTCAACTCCCGCAAGGGATTGAGCTAACAGCTTTTTTTGTAACTGAAACGTTTTACTTCATGCTTTCGTCTCAAAATACTTGATGTTTATCTAATTTTACAGATGTAGTAAAATTTGAATATATGCATTTGGTTATACCAACAGCAGCATATGTTTTCAATAGGTCACTTCGACAATGACGGCTCTAATCTTACCGTAGTAGATCTAATATACTCAACTGACTGACCAAATAACTGCGTTGTAAAATAAAAAAGAAAAATACTCGTGTTAATTATTAAGAAATTATTAGAAACGTAAAATTTACATTGATATCACTACCCCGTTTGGTAACTACATTTTGAAAAAACATTGAGAATCAGTCAACACAATCTACTCGTATATTTGAAAATGAAAGCAATTGTTTCAGTGAAATTATAGTCATGAAATTTCTTTGATGAGTCGCTAAAAACGTTAAAAACTTGAGTAGCCAAAGTATCGTTTGCTTACCAAAGCAGTTTTATCATCCACTCGCTCGAGTTATATATTGACTTTCTATATGCATGGTCTCAAACTGCTCATCTTAACCCTTTACCCCGAATGTCTACAGCTGGGGACATTGACAAAATTATTACTAAAAAAGAACTACGCATTTGAATCGAAACTAGTTTATTGTTGGTTGTAGAGAACTTCAAGAGCTATCGCCTGGTTAAAGAGAATTTGTTTTTATGATACTTCCGGTTGAGATATTGAAATTACAAAATTGAGAATTGTTGGAAGTGTGGATGTAATTTTCAAATATCTGCGCTCTCTTATGTTTTAAATCTGTTTCTTAGTGTCGGTATGGATATTTATAGAGTAAGTGCCCATCAGTTGCGCCAAATACTTTCGAGAATGATGCGTTGATTATTAGTTAAGAGATACATATAATAATGTAATGTCCACATGTGTGGACATTCGGAGGAGTGACACGAAAATGATAAAAGTAAAGTTAGTAGGATACTCAAGTTTCTTAGGCAGATATTCGCCAAGTGACGTATGTCAAGAAAGATAATGACTGTGTCACATGTTAGGTTATTGCAAGAGCCAAGATTCATACTGGAACCACGCCATAACCTTATGTCGGAGATGTCGATGAATACTGATCAGCCTGAAACTACCATAGAAGGATTGGGCAAAGAGCTTTTACTGTTGGTACAGGTCACTGAGCGAATGTTAGGTGAAACTACTGACTTTACCAAGAAATAATCGTATGAAACAAAAACAGATTTCTTAGTTTTAGCACGTTCTATGTCAAATAAAAGGTTTTCGAAAGATATGCAATTCTCACTGCGTTGGGTTTTCTATGTGAGAAAAGCTTTATCTTTGAAAAAGGCTGTTGAAAGAATATTTGGCTGAAATTCTGCAATGTGCCATTAACTCTACCTATATCGAATCCATGTTATTCCCCCCGAATGTTCATAGGTGTGGACATTGTATAGCACCAAGAATAAATAACATAATGCTAATACCTATATACCACGAGTATACTCATGAATAACAGTCTTCGTATTAACGATCAGCTGGTTTATAGGTCTTTACAAAATCTCGTCGAGAGTAAAGGGTTACTTTTAACTACTATAAGTCTAATGAATTAGATTCAGTAGGTAGATTTTGACCTAATGTGAAGTAGTTTATTCAGCACCTTAGTGGGTTTTTTCATATTTGTAACTAACTGAAATTTGGATTCTGTTCAAAACTTCCATTAGATCGTCAAGTAAAGGTTGGTATTTCCAGAAAAGATTTGTGATTCCAATTGGTATATTGGTGCTGGTATGCATTATCGCAGCTGTTGTTGGTTCTGTGATTGGATCGAAAAATGGCAACAAAACGGCAGGTAACATTCTTAGTGCAGTTTTTCGTAAAAATATACTTATGATGCGTTCTGAAAAATTTGATTCATCGATTACACATATCTTAACATGTTTTTTAAGTGAATTATCAGATTTCATATACGTTTGCTTGATCACCTTGCGTGCGCAAATGTGATCATCGTCGTAGATATCTGTTTTTCTCACATTCGAAACAGGGATTTTACGTCTTTTGGATATCTCAATTTTTCTCGGTCCGATTGTTTTCATGATTGTCTCCGTATTTTCACAGACTTAGTATTTTTTCAACATTCGAGTACCCTCTATGTATATCAATCGTTTTTCAGCCCATTTTCAAAATAAAATTTTAGATTGTGCAGCATCAAACGAGCGAATTTTACCACAAACACTTGGCATCAGAGATGAATCAGTGCTTTTAGGTACCCATTTACTCAATTAGAAATGAAAAAACAATCGAATAATCTATGTTCGGTTTCTGAGACTAGAGTTTAGTTAGATAAAAAAAACTTACGCGAACAAAGCAGGTACAAGAAAAAATCTATTTTTTACTGATATAATTTAGTGCAAACGAAAAGAGCTGATTTTCTGATTGCCAATGATTGCATTGATTGTAATCAGCTTTCTCCCCTTGGTTTAGTGTGCATACTTTGAATTCAATTATGTCCTTACTAAAATCTTGAAATAAATATCTTTAATCTAATGAGCCAAAATTTCTCCAAGCACAAAATAAAATGTGATCATGCTCTGCTTGTAACGGGTGGGCCGCAAGTTTTGAGACAAAGTATTTGTTCATTTTTGGTTCGCTCGAAGTAGGGGTGCAACAAATCTTGAAAAGTTTTGGAATTTGTGACCAAATTCTTGAGATTTGGATTTGAACTCAGCATTGTCTCTACACTTGGGATTTGGGATTTGGATTTAGGTATAAGAGTTGGATTTGATATTGGGTTTGTGTACAAGACTTGTATTTGGTTATCAGATTTGTGTACTTTAAGATTTGGATTTGGCTTTCGGATTTGTAGAAATGATAGGGCTGGCTTGAGATTTAATAGCTCATATACATATCGTTATTCGTATATCACATTCACTGCAATGAGGTCGTTATTGAATGATCTTTACGTAATAAGGAGGGGGATCCCAAAGGCATTACATGGGATACCCCTACTCTGCCAAGGATTGTTATATTGGGGCATCCTTGAGTCCTCAAGGGCTATTCTATGAAAGACATCCCTGGGTCCTGAAGAGCTATTAAATGGAGATACCCAAGGTCCTCAAGGGCTATCCTATGAAGGTGCCCATAGATCCTGAAGTATTGTTATATGGGGCACCTATGGGAACTCAAGGGCTATCCTATGGAGGATGCCCATGGGGCCTGAAGAGCCACTATCTAGGTACACCCATCAGTCCTCGAGGACTATCCTATGCAGAAACCCATAGATTTCCAGGAGTCATCATATTGGAGGACCCATAGATCCCTAAGAACCGTCCTATTGGAGGACCCATAGATCCCTAAGAACCGTCCTATTGGAGTATCCCATAGTCTCTCTGGGGCTATTATATCGGAGAACTCATACACCCTGAAACAAGAAAGGTAATCTATATATATATATATATAAAGAAGAATGTTTGTCTGTTCGCTATGCATTCAGTCCCTGTAGTAGCTAGCGTCACCAAACTTTGCATGACACACCCTTGGGTCAAGGGGAAGGTCAAGACGGGGTCGGCGAGACCGAGAGAAGGGGAGGGGGGAGCGGGGGAAGTTTCCCCAGTTTTCAAAAAATGGTGGAAAAGTTTTTGGACTTTTTAAAAAATGTCGAAAATGTTCTCCAATTTCTGAAGTACTCTCCTCCGGCTTTTATCTATTCAAGCTGTTCCTGCGTCAAGGGCTACTTTTCAATCAAAAAATTTTACCTCCGACGTACTTAGTAACCTCATTGTTGGAGCACTACAGTACGTGTCCTATTCAAAAAGTTGGTGTGTGCGACTGTTTTCTAAATAACTAGAGAACGAAAGGAGATAAAGACCTGCGATTTTCGCCATTCGACACAGGAGATTCTAGGGTATGGAATTGTGCTCAAGTCTGATTGGTCGATTTGCTGGCCAATCGGAAGTTAGCATACTTTAATGGTCAGTAATATTGTTTTGATCAAGTTTTCAACGAAAATGTTTCAAAAAGATGACAAAGTTTTACCAAGAAGCTTTCTTTAACTTCAAACTAATGTAGATTTAAAATATATTAAAATGCTAAAACCAGAGATGAACAAAATGGTCCCGGTCCCAATTTTTTTGACTCGGACCGGGATCGAGACTAAATTTGTTTTCGACCGGAATAAAACTAAAACAATTTGTCCTATTCACGTCTAACTGAGCATCTGAGAAGGAGAATATTAGTGACTAAATCGGTTGCAGTATAGTAGCAAGATGTTTCAAACTTATAGACAGTGATAGAGAATAATTTTAAACTCTATACTGGCAAAACTTCTGCTAGCCTCGGTGCCGATACTGAATTCTATTTTAACCGTGACCAGGATCGGGACTAAATTCTTTTCTACCGGCATTGAGAAGGGACACGAACAAAAATTTTTTTGACCGGGAGCGGGATCGAGTTCGACAAACACTGGTCCCGCCCATGGCTAGCCAAAAAAAGTTGAAAAGAGAAAGATATCTGAGCACATTTTGCAACATCCAAGATCGATAGCTTATAGGAAACCATAAGACTACCGTTTTTCAATATGTCAAGCATGCAATATAGAATTTTCTCGGGTAACGCTGGGTACTTCAGCTGGCAAGGAGATAATGCTACAAGAGTTACAAGGGAATATAATTCTATAAGCCCGAAAGCTAGTGAAATATGAAAATATGTGTCATATAATAGCATAAGGTCGTAGGCTGTCTATATGGCTTTTACTACATGAACTGCTAAAGCTTTGAGGTCATATGTTGAAGGATAAAGCAGTCGTGCGGTATGCACAGGTTCATGCTAGTAAAAATTTATAAAGCATTAAATGATTCTCATAGTGCAAAGCTATTAGTACCAAGTTAGTCATAATTTTAGATAGAATAACGCATTAAGATATATGGAGCAAGATGACGATTCTAGTCAAAGACCGTTTCATAACGGCGTATAGCAGAATTTTCGTAATTCTAGCCCATGTCCAGGTCCGTTTTGGTCAAGAAAATGTCTCCATGTTACTCTAATGTTTAAGATTTTGAATCTATTAAATCAAATTTCATCTGTGTCCCTCTCTAAGATCTATTATGGAATCTAAAATTCAATGTCAATTTCACAAGAATCCAGATCGTAGTTCGTGTACACCATAAAAGACGCTGAGAACTCCTTTTTTCTGTACAATTTATTTTTGAACATTGTAAATTACTTTTAACGGAAACTGAATGTGCATTACCCGAAAGAGAACAACTACGAAAGAAGGAAAAGAAACTAACGTTAAAAAAGTGCCTTTTCTATCAAAATACTAGAAAATTTTGCATGTTTTGATTATTTTGTTGAAAAAACTGAGGTGATAAATTGTGTTCCAATGGTTTGGATATCACACTGGTAGTAGTTAGAGGCAGGATCTTGCTATAGTTTTGTAGCCCTTCCTTTGGCGATTCTAGCGCACTCCTGAAAATCAATAAATTAATATCGTGACCATGAGAAGCATGCTGCACTTCTTAAAGTTTTATGTAAAGCCTATAGAAAAATAGTAAGAAAAATCTTTCTATATATAATTCGATGCGTCTTCATCTGCTCTTTCTAATGATGAAGACCACAGATCTCTATCTCGTTCCTATCAAAAGTTATTCAAAAAATACCCACGGTCATTTAACTCTGAAATGAACAATAGTCGTGGTATATGACTTGACAAAAGCTCGATTAAAAAATACTCAATAAAAGTTACCGAAAAAGTCGGGCAAATGATTCGATGCATCTTCAATTCCTTTTTCTAACAAAGAAAACCGCAGGTCCGTATATACCTTCTGTCGAAAATTATTAGAAAGCTACTCACGGTTCTTCTATTTTGAAATGGATAATAGTAAAATAGGCAGAAAAATTATACACGAGCTCACTCATTACGTGAAACTACTGTGGAGAAGCTGCGCCGGTTTTTTTGTAAACGGTTTAAACTTTCCTAATGGAAAGAAGAGGCAAAGATATTTCTAAGGAAAAGCTAAGCCCTCCCCCCTTACCGCCTTTGGATACGTCACCAAAAGAAATCTGCTCAGTACACTGTGTTTCCAATTTCATTATTCAGTGTATTCTCATAGTATTCAAGCGATTGCACAACAATTTTTGAGCTGAATTTTCCGATATGATTCAAAATTCAGCCACAAATTAACGTTTTGTAGGTGTTCTATTGATTTATACAAATTTTTCCGAATAAAAATCATTTTGTTTATAAATTGCGCTAAATAAAAGCTTGACGAAAAGTATACGAAAATTACTTTACAAAATTAAACTTAAAAATTCTTCTTCTGACATGAGTTCAGCACTTATGACAAATGTCTTCGACTGTCCCAAGAAATTGGAATTCAATTAGCTCTGATTTTCTGCATAATGTGCAAAATATCTATATATTTGCATTGGCTAATATTAGGGGTATCCTCATAGCAGGAGGATGGAAGAGTAATTCCATTCAACCTTACAAAACTTTTTTCTTTCCATAATAGAATTTACGTATTTTTCATCTTTTTGCTCACCAATTTGCAAGAAGAACTTTGACCCTTCTTAAAGTTCGGTTATTCTTAGCAAGGCTTTTTTAAAGACTTCCTAAGTTACCGACCCTCCTCTCAAGTTTTTCGGCCTCGGGACACCTGATTATAGTCCGTTTCAAAGGAAAATGATCGTGCCTATTTTTTGAATAGCTTTCGATCAGCAAGGACTATCACGCTCGGTGTTTCGTTATTGGAAAGAGTACATTCCAAAGCGTCTTTTTGTACGATTGTATCAGGAGCAAAGATACTTTTTTCCGACCGATCATACATTGATACGTTGTTGTTGCATTTTTTCAATGAATTTTCTCGATGTTTTAACTTCAGACTATACCAACTTGTAGTCCTAATCTCGCTATATACGTAGCAAAAGCTCGATATTTTCGCATCGTCTTTTCTATCTCTTTTTTCCAACAAGGTTATTTTGCTGTATGATGAAGTTATCGTGCATATAGCGGTATTTGGATTACAAGTTGGTGTAGTTTGAATTTAAAACATCGAAAAAACTCATTGAAAAAAATGCAACAATAAGATATCAATAGATGATTGGTAGGAAAAAAGTTTCTTTAGTCTTGGCATGATCGTACAAAAAGACTGCTTTAGAGCTTCCTCTTTCCAATGGCAAAAACCCGGAGCTCGATAGCCTTTGCGGATCGAAAGTTATTTAAAAAATAGTCACAGCCATTTAACTCTGAAATGGACTATAGTATGACAGTAAAAATTGATATGTATTGTAAGAAAAATTCACTTAAAAATCACCATAGTAAAGGACATTATATAGTCTCGGAACTTGGTCTCGGTCCCATTAAAATTTGTTTTGGTTCCGAACCCGACCCCAATAAAACGTAAATTTTGGGTTTGGGTTCCGGTCCCCGACGTCATAAGTGTGACCGAAACTGGTTTCACACATCTCTACTTAAGTTACTTGAGAAGCAAGTAAAGTCCTAGAGCAAAAATAGGCGCAACATTTTTAGGTCTATATTCAAAAAGAGCACAAAATTTTAATTCTAATTCATACTTTTGACTCATGAAAAACTCCTTTCAAGCAAGCCAAAATGAACAAACATTTTGATCAGAAAATTCGGCCTATGTGGCCTGTCGAAACAGATTTAAGAAGCTTTCACAGATTATTTCATTACTCTCGAATAAAAACTGACAAATTTCGAAGTTTATATTTGCAAAGAGCAGACAATTCTGGTTCTAACGCATAGATTTTAACTGATCGAAAATATCTTCGAGCAAGCCAAAAATGAACAAGCACTTTGTCTCAAAACTTTTGACCTATCCGTTAAGAGTTGCTCAAAAGACCTGTAAAAATCAATATCTGACTATTCTTAACCCTTTGAGTCCGGGATTATTTTTATATAATATAAAGGACGCGAGTAGGTTTATAGGCGAATCAGCCCTACAATAAGTTTTGGATTCGAAACCCCAACTATACTATACCAAACGAAAGAGCTTAGTGAGTTGAGCATTTTTTGTGACGGAACTTGATCTTTTAAATGAATCCATGAAGAATTTTCAACAAGCTAAATTGTAAAATTTCAGTCATTTTAGTCGTTGACATGCTCAGAACTCTCTACGGTTTCATTTAAAAGGTCAGGTTCCGTCACAAAAAGTGCTCAATTTGAGAAGCTCTTTCGTTTGGTATAATATAGTTGGGGTTTCGAATCAAAAAAATTTTATAGGACTGATTTGCCTACCGACCTCTCTCATCCTTTTTACTACATAAAAATAATCCCGGACTCAATGGGTTAAGGGAGTACCCATAAGTATCAGTAATTATAGATAACCTTAACCGCACAAATATCCTAAATACAAATATTCATGCAATTTATACCATTAAACAACTAAAACACCATGTTTTTTAAAGGTATTCAGTGCGCGAAATCCCAGCACGCACATGTGCATCGCCCGGACCCAAAGGGTTAATGATGAAGAAATATATTTTCATGATCATCAGAATAAGGAAGACATTCCTGCAGAGTAATTTTTCATCATTGTAAGCACAATAAACATAGATCTTTGAATGCTAGAAAAGATCATAAAAGTACGATCTTGGCTACATTTTCGTTTAATACTCGATCTGAGTCATTTTTCTGTCACTCCAAGTTGTTGAACGAATCCTGGAGTCGTCTGTAAAATACGATTATTTTTACGAATGGGAATAATGATAATTCCTTTTCTTTAACATAGTATAAGTGTTATTTTTGAACTTTTTGCCATTTACTAGAGCAGTCAATTAGTTGGAATGGAACGAATTGGGCCACGTCCTGTAATTTCTATGGCAATGATATATATTTTGTCCTAACTCCGGCAGAACTCTGTGGTAAGAAATGCGTTGATACCATTCTATGCACTCATTATACATGGACAAACGATAAAAATGGTACTTGCTGGATGAAACAGGGTAATATCTCCAAGGATGATGCTTTCTGGACTACTGATCCGACCATGATCTGTGGTATTAAAGATAACAGTGAAACGTATGCAGCGAATCACACCGTCGAATGGAATGGAGCGAATTGTGCTAGATCTTGCAATTTCCCTGGGAACGATATTGTTACTGTCCGAACTCCGCCAAAGGTATGTCCTATGGAATGCGTACGAACTCAAAACTGCAGTCATTACACATGGTCAAAAGTAAATGGCGGTACTTGTCAGTTGAAAAAAGGTAATGTCTCAAAAAATGATGCATCCTGGTTTAATGATCCAACTATGCTATGTGGTATTCGGGACGATAGTCAGTCGTGTTTAGTAAATTATACCGTTGAATGGAATGGAGCAAATTCTGCCACATCCTGTGATTTTTCTGGCAATGATCTATTCAATGTCCCAACTTCGGCAGAACTGTGTGATAAGCAATGCGCTAAAGCTAAAGAATGTACTCATTATACGTGGACAAACCAAAACGGTGGTGTTTGTTGGATGAAACAGGGTAATGTCTCCAAGGATGATGCTTTCTGGACTAATGATCCGACCATGGTCTGTGGTATAGTAACTAACGGATGGTCCGGAGAAAAAGTGCCAATTTTTCTTTCTTAATTTTTTTGTATTCAGTTTTACTTTTTTTCCTTATTTTTATATCAATAAAATCGGCATAAAAATCTCTACAAAATAGTATATGAATTGCTGATATATATTATAAGAATTTTATTTTAGACAATGAAAAGTAATGATTTGCAAAATCTCGTACTTTCTAAGTACAATTCTGGTGATCATCCACGGAAAATATTCCGTGATCTAAACGGTGGCTTAGCTTGGCGCACGGTGCGGTATGATGGATAAAGGAAGAAAGGAAAAGTATGGAAGAAAATGAGGAAAAATATCGAAAGAGAAAAATATCGAATGAGAAAATAGCGAAAGAAAAAATGTCGAAAAGAAAAGAATAAATAGGCGTAAGACGTCGCTATAAGACATTTGTTAAAAATTTCCTATTTGTTTGGTTGGTTCATACCATTAAAAGTATTTATTCTTTAAGTAGTACACATGTAAATATACGAATGTAATAGATAAATATTAATCTTCATTGATTAATTTGTTTTTCTCTGGTACTTCATTAATAATGCTTATACTGATGGAATTTCGATGGATGACTGTTAATAGTTAAAGATCTACGAATTGATTTTCAGTTATTTTAGATTTGATGACTACTCTTTCTAATGAAATATCTTTTTTCATTTCTCAAAAAGAAAAAAAAAATTTAATATAAACAATTTCATTTTTAAATTGAATCAGACAATGAGTACAACAAAATACTATCGATATGAAAATTCACATTATACTGTTACTGCGCGTGCTGACCTTCAAGATATTATTTTGAACATCAAAGGTGATCATTGTCACCCACCTGAACCAGAACAAATTCAAATTCAAACATTCAAACAAGTTGTCAAAGCAGGTGCTATAAGTGAAAGTATACCCATTCCACAAATTTATGACAAAGAAGCAGCCCGAATCGATTTATCAACATTATCAATTGCTGTTTTACCATCTCAGAGACAACTTGATTAGAAAAAACCTGTATTTTTTTTCACTTAAAGCATATATTTTCCAGGTAGTACATTAGATACAGCACGTCGTCTCCAAACACCATTTATTCCTAATTCTCAATCATTTGATATAGCAGAACCTTATACAAAAACATTGAAAAATTTACATTTCCTTTGTATTGATCAGATTATAAAAAGAAAAACGCGAATATTGGTGTTTGCATCAAATGAGCAATTAAAATTATTATTTGATGGTTCAGTCATCTTGATCGATGGCACCTTCTCATCACTTCTCCGATATTCGATCAAGTATATTGCATACGTGCAATTAAATTTGAACAATGTGAATATGCTTTTTTCTTAAATAAATTTTTTAAGTATTATTCTCTTTCGCAACGTTTGTATGTGTTTTTGCTTTCGTACCTGATGGAAAAACCTACATATAATTATTTATTTCATGAATTACATAATAAAGCTGCTCAACTACATATCAGTTTTAATCTATGTACTATTATGTCAGACTTTGAAGGGACATTAACTGAAGTACTTAAAGTTGAAGCACGTATTACTTTATTTTAATTTCAACACATATTGTAGTGTTGTCCTTCTAGTTTCCTAATAGTGACATTTAATCTAAGCATTTATTATATTTCATAGTTATTTTTCATCTACTCAATAGAACTTATCACAAATTTATATATATATCATGTCTTATTTAGACATTTTAATTTTCGATATTTTTCCTCTTCGCTATTTTCTCTTCGATATTTTTTCATTCGCTATTTTTCCTTTTCTATATTTTCTTTTCTACATTTCTCCTTTCGACATTTTTCCTTTCTTCCTTTTTCCATCCATTCCACGGTGCAACGTTGGTGCTATCAATTTATCCAAGCCTCCTGGAAGTATACGTACTGTACGGACAAAAGCAGCCATACAGAAGGTGAAGCACCGATTGAAATGAAAAAGAAAAGTTACAAAGAATTTTAGGGTGTGCGTCTGGGTGTTGGTGTGGATCTAAGTTGGGATCAAAATACCACCCACACCCATAAGAAAAAGTCCGAAAATTTAGTAAAAAAATCAGCAAAATTTTCTATTATTTACGCGTGTAAATACATGATTCCATTTGCTCAACGTTAGATTGCAATAGGGGAACCATTTGCATTGTATCTTGAACTATAGATCTCAAGTCCCTCTATCTAAATCAAAGGGCAAAATTAAAACTTCATCTAGATGGAAAGTCATTTTCATGCATTCTTTTGGATGTTTTTCGAAGATGATTATTTCTAAAAAGGTTTCGTCCTATACATTATCGGAGAAAAAGACGTCCCAACTTCTATTCTTTCAGTTGGTAAAAGTCGCAGGTCGCTAGCTGTTACCGTTATCGAGCTATTGCAAAAATACCCACGGCCACTTTTTTTTAACAGACAGTAGGTAATCTAAAAAGTTTTATTTTATTGATTTTTTTTATAGATCATAGTATATTATAATCACTTGTGAATATCAAAATTATTCTTATGATTTATTCCTTCATCTTGTATACCAACAGAAAGATTTTTAATAAAAGGTATACATTTTAATAAATGTTCTAGAAAGGCTAATGCATGTATGCCTATAACCAATGAATAAAGATGATTTATATTTAATAAATTTGATAGTGTCATCAAAGATGTTGCTGAAGATGTTGGTAATGTTTTGCGAGTTATTAAACAATAATCAAATGGAAGTCTACAGTTTGTTAAGTCAGGAAGACATGAACACACCTTCTAATAAGATTAAAAAAAAATTTTATAAGTTTAATAAATTCAAGTAAAATTTATTTGCTCACTTTAACAAGATATGCTCCTTCTATTTTTTCTTGGTTCGTAAATGAACTATCATCTGATACATCGACTAGTAAAGTATGCATTTGTTTTATTAAACGATTATTCAATAATTTATCAAATTCATGTCGTTTAATATTAATTAAATGAAGACGTCGAAGTAATATTATTTTATGATAATTGAGAGATGATGAAACAAGTGACCATCCACCAATCATATTAGTTAAAGTAATACGTAATGAAATAACTCGATGTCCTAATCGTTTTAATACATTTTGACATAAATTATTAAACATTGATAATGACATTCTATTACCACCAATATGAATATGCCACAAATATTCATACATAATTATTCTTGAAAAATAATTATTTAATAATAAAAATGATTGAAGAATTTCAACAGGAGACAAATAAGGAAATATTTCGAAAATAACATCGACAAGTAACGATTCAAATGTACTCACCATCATTCTGTTCATGTTTTCTTTAACATTCATAATGAGTTCGATAAATATTCCCTCAGACAATAATGTTTATCTGTCAGTTTTGTTTGACGAACTTTGTTTTATCTGAGTATTAGAGTGAATCTTTTGAGATTTTCAGCTGAACACCCTGAAAACTACTTACATTTTGACATAAATACACTGACTAAACGTCCAATTTTTCGAAAAATTTCTTAATTTAGAGCGTCCTCTATTGCGGGGAGAGGTTTAATGGAAAATGGATAGTCGCTAAACATATAGTGACCGAACGCTTTCACATTAATGAACCAATAGAAGATGAAGATAGCGTGTCTTTATTATTAGCACAACTAAGGCAGTCTCTTTCCATTCGCAATCTTGTATACCTGTTTGACCTAAACAAACGATACACTTTGTTTTCTTCAATTTGTCTACAGCAATATGGTGAGTTACATCTAATATTTAAATTTTATATAATACGAAAGATAACTAAGATACATCAAAACATTAGTCGTGAATTTTAGGTCATTTCTAAAGTTTTTGGATCTGTCTAATCAATAGACATTCGTTTGACTATCATTCATTAAGTTTTGTCTTCTTAAATTTCAACCAGATCATTGTAAATTATTTTTTGATTCACTTACTTATTGGTATCTATCAATGAAAAATAAAATCCTTTTAGTTCTCATTTGTATCGAGATAATCGGAAAATCAATAACCTGATGAATAATGTGGAAAGAATAGTTCTCTGCATTTTTTCAAGATTTCTTTTCCTAAATAGAATGAGTCACAGCATTTTTATTTTTATTGAAATCAAAGAACTGATGAAATCGTAATATGATCGTCATCCAGTTGAAGAACATCTCATAAATAGTTACTTAATAGCTTTATAAATTCGATTTTTATCAAATGTTTATGAGGTGTACGAAAGGATGCAGTTTACTCTACTTGATAAGTCAAATTTATTGTTATCAAGACCGCACCCTCACGAACATTTTTAATTTTTGTTTCATAGTTGACTGTCCCCTCGTTTCTAAAGGATTTATTTAGCAGCGTTTTTTATTAATTAATATGCAACATGTTATTGATAAAATAATCAATTAGAAAGAATACTGAGAACCATTTTATATTTTACAATTAAGTTAAAATATAATTTGATACGTATCAATAATATCAATGTTTTGTATTAATGAGAATATTTGTAGCGAAAATTTTTGAAAAATAATCTCTCAAGTTGTTGTATTTTTTGAAAGTCGCTCTATATTGAGTTCCATATCTAGTCGATGTCCATGCCATTCGGGTAGACAATTCTTATAGATATCTAATGTTCGTTTATAATAATTCAGTGCTAATATCGGTTTATTGAGATGTTCATAATGTTGGCCAATGCGAGAAAAACTATCACCAATAGTTACTTGATCTAATGGTTGAAACTTTATACGCATCAAGCAATAATTCATTTCATATGTCAATGAAAGTTCACGATGATTTCCTTTTCTTTGAATGTCACTTAAATACAGTAAAGTGTCACTAATCACAGGATCATTCAAAGATAAACTTGTTTCTCTGATGCACAGACATCTTTCAAAATATTCAATAGCACGATCGTAATCCGCCGTTGAATCCCAAATAAGAGCAATATTTTGTAGACAATTCGCTATTTCAACATGATCTGTTGGATGATATTCTTCGAATATCACTAATGCTTGTTGATAAGAATCAACAGCATCATTATATTCTTCTTGGTTAAAGAGTATGTCACCTATCTCTTGAAGATTTTTGGCAATCATGAAATGATCCAATGGGTTGTTTTCTTTCCGGATATTTAGTGCTCGACGTTGTGCACTTAGAGCTTCATCATATTCAAATTGCAGTTTAAAAATTAAACTCATCTTAATCAATGCAGCAATCATGGCTGCATAATCGACTGGACAATCTTTTTCATAGTGTATCAATGCTTCTTGGTAAAATTTAATGGCTTCATTATAACGGCCGTATAAATACATTTTAGAAGCCATATCAGTGAGAGTTTTACCTGCATCTTTATGATTACATAGACCGGATTTTATGTTGAGATCCAATACCTTTTTTTGAAATGGAAACGCTTTATAGTCTTCATCTTGTTCATTTAAAATGTTTACAATACGATTAAGACATGACAGCGTACTAGCATGACCATCGGGATACAATATCTCATAAATTTTCAACATCTTTTGTTCTAGGTCGATGATCTTACTATACTTTTTTGGCCGGTAAAAAACAAAACTGATCTTTTGTAGACTATTATCATTCGCAACTTGATCAGATTGAAAGATTTGTTCCCTGATTGACAATGCTTGTTGATAGATTTCGAGAGCTTTATCATATTCTTTTAAATTTACATGAAGCTGGCCAATTTTTGTAAGATTATTGGCAATTTCGTTATGATCTGATGAACAATGCTCTTGTCTAATCGTTAATACTCGTTGACGATATAGAAGTGCTTCATTATATTTTTCTTGATCTTCAAGTACATCAGCATTATTACCAAGACAAATAATGATATTATTATAATCAGATGAACAAAACTCTTCACATATTGCTAATACTTTTTGATAACTATCAAATGCTTCATCATATTTTCCTTGTTCTCGAAGAATATTGCCAATAGTGTTAAGATTCGATGCAATATATATATGATTTGTCGGACAGTGAGTTTCGAATATTTTAAGCGATTGGTTTTGAAAATCGAGTGCATCATCAAACTTTCGTTGATGCTTAAAAACATCACTAATGCTAATGAGTAGACAAGCAATCTTTTCATATCCAGATGGATCGAATGTTTCTCTCATTTCTAATGCACGTTTATAAGAACTAATGGCCTTGTTATATTGTTTTTGTGCTAGAAGGATATGACCCAATTCGTTAAGACCATCGGCAATCTGTAGATGATTTGATGAAAGATGATTTTCTCGTATTTCAAGTGATCGATTTCGAAAATCGAGTGCTTTGACATAATTTGCTTGTTGTTTAAATGTAAGGCTAATGTTACTCAATAGAACAGCAATATCGTCATAAGCCGATACATTAAATGTTTCTGTGATTTCTAATGCTCGTTCATAGTACTCACGAGCTTCATTGTATTTTTCTTGTTCATAATAGATCAGACCAATATCGTTGATATTACGAGCAATTAATGCATAACTTGATGAACAATGTGTTTCTCGTATACTAAGCGTTCGATTTAAAAAAGTGAGTGCATCATCGTATTTTTTTAATTGTTTAAGTGTATGATTAATGTTAGTGAGTATAGAGAGGGTGTCATCATAACCAGATGGATCGAATGTTTCTCTAAGTTCTAAAGCTCGTTGATAAAAATTAAGAGCTTTATCGTATTCTTTTAGATTTATATGAAGTTGACCAATTTTTGTAAGATTATTGGCAATTTTATCATGATCTGATGAATAATGTTCTTGTCTGATCGTTAATGCTCGTTGACGATAGAGAAGTGCTTCATTGTATTTTTCTTGATCTTCAAGTACATCAGCATTATTACCAAGACAAACAATGATATTATTATAATCAGATGAACAAAACTCTTCACATATTGCTAATACTTTTTGATAATTATCAAATGCTTCATCATATTTTTCTTGTTCTCGAAGAATATTGCCAATGTTGTTAAGATTCGATGCAATATATAGATGACTTGTTGGACAGTGAGTTTCGAATATTTTAAGTGATTGATTCTGAAAATCGAGTGCATCATCAAACTTTTTTTGATGCTTAAATACATCACTAATGCTAGCGAGTAGACAAGCAATGTTTTCATATCCCAATGGATCGAATGTTTCTCTCATTTCTAATGCTCGTTGATAAAAATCAAGAGCTTTGTCGTAGTTTTTTTGATCGAAGAAAGTCTTACCGATATCACGAAGTCGATCAACTATTTTCGTATAATCTAATGGTTCGAGTTTTTCTTGTATTGCTAAGGCTCGTTGTTGAAATTCAAGTGCATCGTCATATTTTTCTTGACTACACAAACTACGACTAATCTTTATACAACTTGTAATAATTTCTTTGTGAATAGATGGTAAACATTTTTCTTTGATTAATAGTGCACGTTGTTGATATTCAACAGCTTCTTGATATTTTTCTTGTAAATATAGAACGTCACTAATATAGTTTAGATTAAAAGCAATCTGTAATTGATCTGATGGATAACAGTTTCCAAATTTTACAAGTAATAAATGTGCCTGTTGATAATAGTCAAGTGCTTCATCATATTTCTTTTCATCCTGCAGTACGTAACCGATACAATTGAATGTAGTTGCAATTTTTATATGTCCTGTTGGATAATTTTTTTCTTGAATTTCTAACGCTTTTCTATGGAACTCCATGGCTTTATCATATTTGTTTTGATGATAGAGTAGATTACCACTCTTATTAAGTGTATCAGCAAGGTTGGGATGATCCGCGTAATAATAGCTCTTTTGAATGTCTAATGCTCTTTGATAATAGTCTATGGCTTCATCGAATTTTCTTTGATTATTTAGAATATTACCAATACCGATCAAATTAAAAGCGATATCACTTTGATTACACGGACCATGTTTTTCGAGCACGATTGATGCTTGCTGGTAGAATTCTAGAGCTTCATCGTATTTTTCTTGTTGAGATAATAGAGTACCTATGTTTTGAAGTGTAAAAGATATATTTACATGACCCAAAGGATAATAACTCTTTTGCATTACCAATGCTTGTTTACAATGATCTAAAGCGTCTTCATATTTCTCTTGACATCTTAGAACTTCTCCAATAGACATGAATGTCTGTGCTATTTTAGCTTGAAATGATGGATAATATTTTTCTTCCATAATAAGTGCTTGACGATGAAAGTCCATAGCATCATCAAATTTTTCTAAATTATTCAAAGCAACACCAATATTATGCAAAAGACAGATAATATCAGTATGACCAGAAAAGAAATATTGTTTCAATATTGCTAATGATTGCTGATAAGATTCTAA